TAATTAGAATTCTAGTCGTAATGGGACGGCTCAAATTATTTCCTATATATAAAGGCTAGATCCCCTCTCCTCTTCATATGTTTCATTAGCTTGCCCCATTGATAGCTAATACTTTTGTGAGGAGCAAGGAGGGAAAGATCTTGGCTACTATTACAACTATAATTCATATCAACAACGGTTTTCGCAGGTATGAATTCGTTTCTATTAATATATTGGATTGTGATTATCGATTCTTAACATGATTAAAACTAAATATCAACATTTTTTCCTAATTCATTTCAATTGATCCTAATTTACTGTTTTTGCCATTCTTTTCTATTGTGTGAATTATCTAAGTTGATTTTTCAATAAGTGTTTACCGTAACTTTGGCACTGGTAGTTGTTGAAGCTTTGAAAAGTTAAAAATAACAGTGTATAACTGTTTATGCACTTTTGTGCTTAGTTTTTCTTCTATTATGGAATTTTTTGTAGAAATCTAAATTAGATACAAGCAGTATAATTGTATTGCTTTTTAATTGTGAAGGATCACATATATCAATTTATCAATTAGGATGAAAATAGTATTCCTGTAAACTTTTGACAAAGTTTTAATGGAATCTTATTTCAAAATGCATTGTATGTTGTGTGCGGAGAGAAATGAACAGTCGTTGTTTTGAACAAAAAACAAGAACAACGGAGCAGATCAGAGAATTATTTTATATGACTTTGTATACTTGATTTAATGTTGCGGCTACTAGTCCTATAGAAGGACTGCCTAATTTCATATCTTTTCTTTTTTGTTTAAATTGATAATAATACACCCCATATATTATCTTTTGATTAATAAAATTACCTTATTACTTATAAAAGAAAAAGGAGGTTTTCACTAGTTTTTGCAAGAGAATTCCCATGATTATTAGCTTGAAATTATATTATGGATGCGTTACCACTCATAAGCGTAAACTGGTGCGTAAAAATATTCTAGATGACTGGATCCTCTGTAGCATGGATACTTGAATTGGGATAGTGTGTCCGTGTCCAACACATGTCAATGGAGTGTCGAACACTCTATCATAATCATTTTTTCCTTTTTACTAAAATTATAGCACAAAGTTATTAATAAATAACAAATAGATACTCATATTTAAAAGATTTCAACATGAAAAATTAATAACAAGTATAAAATTAAATTTATAATATATAAATAAAGAATTTAATCAATGTATCGACGACATGTAATGTCAATACTTTTTAAAAAAATTACATGTTGACATATCTGATATGTATCGTGTCGGGCACACGTGTATGTGTCGGTGTATCATAGACTGGATTTATGATGAGGCACATGCTTTATTTAGCCTACCAATAAATATTTTTTAGACTCCTAGAAACTTGTCGGCGAGCTTTATAGTTACATATTAGGAGGTACATGTAGGTGCAATTACTTGGAGCATTCGATTTGAAGAATTGCTATAATTGCTCAAAAGCAAATATTATTCAGCTTATTTGCTTTTGGACTGCGTGGTCTTTGCTTCTTCAAGATCTTCAAATTGATCCTACTAAACTCACTTTAAAAATAGTAAAATTATA